CCAGCTTCGACCCTCCGCATGACCCAATCTTTAACAAACTCATCCAGACTCTTGTTTGTGGTAGCAGGCCTCTCAGCACCACCACTCTGGCTGACCGTAACCCTAGATCCTCCGTTACTCTGGCACATTGCCTCATCTTCTCGTAGCACAGTCCGGAGCTCTGGCTCTGAACTTAAGTCGGAGTCCGGATTCTCAATCGTGGAGTCGGGCTTAGTACAAAATCCGGTGTCAAGGTAACCGGGTTCCAAGTCAGTCTTGGGGTTCTGGAGCATTGGGTCACAGTCTTCGTTGCCATTTTGAGATGCGGACTTCGAATTCGGGTCATCGGCATAATGATTGAGGCAAGACATTCGTGGCGACGGTGGCTGGGACGGTGGTGGCGGTGGTTCAAGAACATTCGTAAAATCGGGCATTGTTAGGGTTACGGTTTTGAGAGAGAAAGAGTGAAGTGAGAGAGAGGGACGGATGAATTGAGTGCGTCGTGACTGAGTTGAGAGGGATAGCTCAGCCGCGGAAGTGGGTAGTGGTTGAATGTGTGAATAATGCGCCAGTTTTGTTTACGCGGGAAAATTGAATTTCCAAATATTTTATGCGTCATTTTATTTGTATTTTTTTGTAAAAGAAAACATGGGTCGGCCTTATCTCTGCCTTTATCCGAACTAGACCAGAAAACTGGACCAAATCGGACTAGTCGGTCCAAGCTAGACCCAGGTCAGTTATATGTCGGTCTGGTCTTCAGTCCAAAGATTTTTGCGATTCTAGTTTCTGTACATGTTAGGGGTGGAAACAGGTTTGACAAGACTTTGCCTAAAGAGGTCGGACCTATTTCAAAATGTTTAATAAGCTTATCCTTTTTTAAAATTGCTCTAAGGATCCGACAAGACTTTTGCCTAATTCCTGTCTAAGCGGTAGGCTAGGCAGTGATCGGATGTCCTAAATTTAGTCTGTGTGCCCCAATTAATTGATTTCACGTCTAGATGAATTAGTCGGCCGTCCAGGGCTTCTAATTGATTGTCCAGAGAGCTTAATCAAACGCCTAGATTCGTCAAACACTTTTTCTTTTGCTTTTTCAATTTAGCTTCCAGGGATTGCATACATGATTAATGGAGCTATTTTTTTATTAAATTTTTAGGGCTAATGAGTTAAACCATTCTGTTGGGTTAATAGGCCCGACACAGAAGCGGCCCATTATCCCTTAACAAGAAAACCATCAAGGCCCAATTTGGGAGCGGCCCAACAAGGAGGCCTGTTTGTCCGTTCATTGTCTGTGCCATTCACTACTAGGGGGTGCAAATGAGCCGAGCCGCTCGTGAGCCGCTCGTGAGCCGCTCGGTCAAAGCTCGGATCGAGATCGGTCAAACTCGAGCTCGAGCCGAGCTCGAGCCGGCTCGTTAAGCAGTCGAGCCAGAAACGAGCCTACTGATTTTAGGCTCGCTAGCTCGCGAGCCGGCTCGCGAGCCTAGTTATATGTGTGTATATTTAATTAATATATGTAATATATTAATATACAATACAAGTTAATATATAATACGGAGTATATATTAGTATATATAATATATAATATAAATTAGTTATAAATATATATATATATAATACTGATTCATAAATGTATATGAGGACCGGGGAGATATTATTAATTATAAAGTAATTTAACAAAAATAATCAAAGTTTCATCCACTATTTCTTAATGGGTTGATCACTTTTGATTTATATTTGAAGTACAATTGGGTGGAGACTTGAAGTTAGAATTGTATTTTGTTTATTTTCCCGTAAGGTTTAGTTATTGGGCATGTAAATTGCAATTTGCAAATGTTAAGCACATATATTTAAAGATTGTTTCATACTTGAGCTCGAGTTCGAACACGAACTTTCGAGCTAATTGAACTTGTAACTTTTGAACGAACCAAAATTATCTAGCCGAACCGAGCCGAGTCGAGCCAAATCGAGCCGAATCAATATTTGCGAGCCGAGCTCGAGCCCGGATTTTTTAAGCTCGTTCGAGCCGAGCTCGAGCTCGAGCCAATACAATATAATTCGAGCTCGAGCTCGAGCCTACATAAACTCGGGCTCGGCTCGGCTCGTTTGCACCCCTATCACTACATTGAATCCACTTAACTCATTACCTACAAGATGTTGGAATAATCACTTAGTTTAGGAATGAATTAATATGATCACATTCGGATTTTTTTGTTGTTCTAGTATAAAAGACCAAACATAAATCAACATAAAAACATAATAAAAATTTCAAGCTAATAAGGTAATTTTTAAATAACCAAACCTATTTTGTAAAAGATGAAACATTTATAAAGATAAACGAAAGTACAATCCAGTCCCTAGCCGTCCGGTCCTATCAAAACTGAAATAATTCAGGTTTTGTTTGCAACCACTTGTGCGTAAATAAAAGTACTTTTTGGGAAAAAATGATTAGTAGTAAAAGTTGGTAGTGTTTGGTAAAATAAGTGCCTTTTTCTTAGAAAAAGCAAAAATCACTTTTCTTAAGTGATTGCAAACAAGCCCTCAATCTAGTATGGGACCATAATTATTTTGGTATGTTCTTTGATCCATTCACTTTTGTAATTCCGGTTTCAATCTAAGCAGGTTCTGATCCGACCCGATCCGGTCTGTGTGCTGACCACACTTATAGAAGTTGTTTATAGCTTTTTTCGCTTTGTTTTAAAAGATTTGAAGAATTTGAATAAATATGAATAGAAATCTAAATTTCAAAAAGTAGCATGTTACAAGTTTTCTATGTTTCTAACATAGGTCTAATTATGATCACAATTAGACATGATTGTCAATCATAACATTAACACTATCACATTAACGTCCGGTAATATGAAATTATAATAGTGGAGTATCATTTGGAGTATCATTTGAAGAGTGCTGTACGTAATTTCCAATGTTTCAAGAAAAATATAGTACTTTTATTTTTAATTTTTAAATTATTTTTACTCTTATTTTGAAAACAATCTATGATTTACATTGTCTAGTGAATAAGTCTACATTAAAATTATCTGTGCCTCTAAACAAAATAGTAGAGAGAAAATAAATAAAAAACTTTAATAGCAATAAAAAAGAATTTAAGCATTTGATCTAGATTTTCACAAATCTTGTCAAGTTAGAGAATTCAAACCTCTCTTTATACCTTTTATTATGAATCAGAGTCTATGACGATATCTTGAAGTGTGTGTCTATGTAATTTATAAAATGTTGATTGATGAGTAAGCGGTTCAGCCCAACTTGTCGCTAACTCACTCTCCATTACGGGAGGTCTCAAATTCGAAATACAATGGGCTGAATTTCAGCCTAGATAACTCCAGACTCCCTCAGTCCCCCTCCCCCAGACGCCCCCAAGAGTAAAAAAAAGCTGATTGATTTCAGTTCACAGTGCAACATTAAAGAAAGAATTAAATTAATATGTGACATATATACGCGTTTGAAAGCCCCTACTCTATGAGAAAAAACTTTAGTTAAGAGAGTATCGCGTTAATTAATACTAAAAACTAACAATTAACCCTTTTGCAATTTTCCATCTTACTCAATGTTAGCAATGTTAGTTAGGCAAAATATCTATTCCATACTCGGTACTTCTATTTAGAGATGAACACATATAGGGGTGTTTGGATCTGATTCTTAAAACTGCTTCTGCTCCTTCAGAGAGCAGAAGCAGAAGTTAGAGTGTTTGGGTGAAAGTGCAGAAGTGATCTAGTGCTCTAATTTACTCCTAGAATCAGTTTTTTTAGAAGCTGGTGGAGACCAGCTTCTGAAAACTGATTCTGATTCTGCTTCTACTTTAAAAAAGAAGCACAAACAGAACTAGTTCCAAACACCACATACAAGTGTAACTGCCACATCAACCTATAAACAAAGTGATAGAGTATATGGGCCTGGACCCCATGGCCCACATACTCAACGGGCCAAAAGACACCAACAGGACACCCACGCGACGTCCGCATCGGTCGGAGGCCCGCAACGTCCAGAGAAGAAGATATCACTCGGCCCTCTTAGGCCACAGCCCAGTGGCCGCGACGTCTATGGACCGCATCGTCCATGGACCGCATCGTCCGGACTTTCGTCCAAACAGAATGTATTTTCCTAGTTTATTTACCAAGTGTTGTACTCAGCCCATTAGTGACCCTATTCGCCCAAAGAAGGCATGATTATTGTAATGGGTCTCCTAAGCCCAAGGTTAGGAGCCCAAACCCACATTTTTACCTATAAATAGACCCCAAGGGGCTAATTATAGAGGGTTGAGAAATATAATTACTCACTTTATCTCTCTAACTCTCACAGCTCTCTAGAATTACTCTATCACAAAGTATCATAGTTTTTGAAAATTTTCTTCTAAATCTACTACTCTCTCCGTCCCCGAAAGAAGTTCCACATTTGACTTTCACACACTTTTATGCAAGTAAACTTACCAGGGGTGAATTTTACTGTTTCGACACTGTTTCGACATTGTTTTGCACTGTTTGACACTGTTTTGCACTGTTTGGCACCATTTTGATGTAGATAACTTTCCATTTAAGGAAATGAGAACTTAAATTAGAGACATCCAAATAAGGAAAGTGAGAACTTCGGGGACGGAGGGAGTATAATATCTACTCATTACTAAATATCATAATTATACTCTAACCAAATGAGACACTATTTATTGTGTAATTAAATTACAATTAGTTATTGTAATTTTCAGGAGCACTGATAGCTGGCACTCTGGCAGGCCGGAATTGGGCAGACCGATTGGTTTTTAATCGGGACTGGGTAAATTTTCTGGTTTTGAGCAATCTGAGTGAATTTTTTGGGACCAGGCCTAATCCCAATTCTGGTCCCAATGGCTACTTTTTTTCTGTTTACCCATTGGACAACCCAATATTTTTTGTAAAAAAAAATATCTCCCAATATTTTTTGTTGGGAGACCAGAGGAGTCTTCAAGTGCAACCCATTTTGTTCTTACAATTTATACATAAATATCTGTAATATATTCATAATTGAAATAAACAATGTATACATATCTTTGCCAAATTGTTACACTTGTAATTTTTTTTGTTACAATTGTATTTAAATCCCATACATTATATAAAACATAAATAATACAAATATCTTAATAATAATTATAATGCACATCTTTACATTTCTAATTAATTAATTTAAATTTGTATGATGATATACATTTATAAAAATTAAAGACAGGAGCTGGTATTAATGTATTATAGGTTCCAGGTACCACTACAAAAAAATAAATTGGGACAAGCCGGCCTGGAATCAGAACCAGACCGTGTCCATGTGGTGCACCATGCCAGCGTGAAGCCCTCAAAGCACGTTGACAGTAATTTTACTGGCCTCTTCGTTCCTACTATTGATGTACATCACCATATTGTCATTCTGGGGATTCAAGGACCAGTGAGAAATGATAAGGCAACTCAGGCATTAATGCCACTAACAAATATTGTAGATTGCATTTCTGAACAAGCATCATTAGAATTCTTTCTTAAATAAGCAATATATAAGTGTAATTTTACTGTTAAACCATTTTCCTGGCAAATGCTTTTTATAGGGTGAGGTGATTTTTCCGGTAAAGACCACTTCACTTGAAAGTAAGCCACCCCAGTCGCTCGCTCTCATAGCCAACAAAGATGTCAAATGACAGGTGGTGTAGTATTTTGTGGAAGAACAATTGTTTGCACCACTTTGGAACGGGCAGTTTCCATGAAAGACAACAATTTCCCTAGCATTTCTCTTAGCAAGGGAGATACCATATCGGACTGAGTCAAGACATCAAGTGATTTTATAACGCCTTTACTAATAAGCGCATGGATAGCGCTTAACACCCCTTTGATTATCACATCTTTCCTTTCTACATCATAATTGTCAATCAAAATCAAGAGAAACTCAAGAAGAGTATTGGTGATATCACTATACTTTGGAATAGAGTTAACCATCAACAAAATTGCTGGCTCGACACACATCATGTCGTCATCCTCACCAAAAAACAGCCAATCGTAAAACAACCCAAGCTTTAAGTTTGCTTGGACGCAGCCTTTCCTGCAAGACATCAACAGCCAACCAATCACAGCCCATCTCGGCATCACATCCACATCATGACTATCTTCGCTTGAAGAACGGCATGTGCAACAGATAAACCTCACAATGTCTACCAAAAGAGTCTCCCTGTCGGGCGAAGAAAGAAACTTTTTAGCAAACCAGACCTGATACCTTCTTTGGTTGCCAAGCTTCACTTTCGTGAGCAAAAATCTCAAGTTTCTCTCCATCTCGGGTGTTATTCTAAGTGAAAAATACAAACTTGGAGTCCTTAAACCATAGATTTGAGCTATGGACTTAAAATCATTTACTTTAAACTCTCCTGGATTGAACAACAAGTCTTTCCATATGGACTTGAACTCAGCTATATGGACCAAATCTTGTAAAAGCCTCACAAGATCCTTCCCTATCCTTAAACACAGACCAAAGTGTTCCCTCAAAACCCTAATACAAAACTCTGTCTCCAATCTCTTTAATGTTTTTAGTCTTGGATCATTAGATAACCTACCATGATCAGCTAATAACCTAAGAAACACATACAATCCATATGTCAAAACCAAGGGATCTTCTTCCACTAAACTATCCCATTTGCTCAGTAAAATACCAACCATCTCAGAGCACAGCCATAAATTACCTTCACCGAAATCCCCACCAATAATTTGTCGAAGAAGCGACACTAACAATCCATCATACCCTATAGCCAACACATCAATCATTTCACGAGCAACCCAAATTATCTGAATCTTTGCAGAATCAGTAAGTTTGGCATACAATTCATCAATGAATCTGGTAACCATAGAAGTGAAGTAGCAATACCCATCAGTGATGATAGCATGCAATAGCTTAATGAGGGTCTTCACAGAATGTGGTTGGCTCAAAAGGCCGAACAGGATGGCTTCATTGAGACGTGAGTACTGTTTTTGGGAGAGGGATTTCAGAGCAAAGGGAGGTTGTAGATCACCTTCGTGAAGGTTGAAAGCTTCTCTGAGTGAAGCTTCTAGGGGATTCTCTGCGTCATGAGTGGCTCTATGAACCAAGCTCCCTGCCATCACTCATCAGAAGTGAAAATTGCCGTAACCCAAGGCATCTAATTTGGGGGTCCTTGCAGTGGCATATCTGGAATTTACATTGGGGGGATTAGAATGAGTAAAACATAGATTTTTCTGATAACTAAAACATAGGTAATGCAATTAATTCCAGAAAGTATTATTTATATTAAAGATAGTCTTTTTATATGAATAATAATTTTTCATAGCTGAACAATAAACATTAAACATGTTTCACAAATTCATGTCACTTAATTAATTTAAGAAGAAATAACTACACATATATGACTAAAAACTATGTTGTTTACAAAAATGTGACTTTGTAAGTGTAGTTAGTAATAACTTAATTATACAGAGTAGTAATTTATTTTCAATTTTTACACACAAGTAACTATGAGACTATGCTACCATAACTAATAGTCGTAGTTTGTACATTAGTTTCATTTCAGTCATATACTTGAATAAATCACATTTAACAATACTCTTAGAAACTGCATATGAACAAATGCACTCACAAGCTAATGAGTTAAAAAAATGCATACTTAATATAAAACAATCAAAATTGACCAATTAATAAGCTGTAAGCATACTATCAATTCATAAGTAAATAATTTGAATTTATTAATTTTGTATTTCAAAGTTTTGGGATTATACATTTTGTATTTCAAATCTTCAAGAGTAGGTCGCGGCAAAACTGGATACCTCTCTTGTGACCTTTGGAACCTGCGAATCAGCAATTCTAAGAATCCAAAGCTGCCACGCCGGAGTCTTGACCGCTTGGACCGGCCGGAAATGCGAACTGCAGTCTGCAGTTATACTAGAACGAAACGCCGGCGTACCTTCGGAGGTCTGGTTTGCAGGCGGTTCGGTGGGCGGCGGCACCGGGCGGCGCTGTCCGAACGTACGCCTGCACTCCTGCGGTCTGTATCGCCTGTGCACTGCCTAGGTGGGCCGCGAAGATACCGAAGACGGAAGAACTAAGAAGAATCTCAGGAGGGCTGACCCAATTACGTTTTTTGTCAAAGCCTAAAATCCTAACAAGTTCAGTTGATATTTTTAGGCTTGTTTCAATCGGACTCAAGCACTGAAAAATACACTGTAGCTTCTCTTTTGTCGTTCTTATCTTTGTTTTTGGGGAAAAGGGGCAAAACTCCCCCGAACTTGTCACCAAGGAGTATCTATACCCTTAAACTTTACTTTTGTGTAAAAAGCTTGAAAATACGTGAAATGAGGGCAATTACCCCTTTTGTTTAACGGTGAACCAACTGTACGTTAAAGTTGTTTTTTTCAAATATTTCGTTAAAGAGCATATTTTGTTTAACAAATCAAATATGAAAAGTGCTTTTTCATAAGCTTCTATAGATAACAAATCCATAAGAGGGCAATTACTAATTGACTTATTAAGGATTAAGTGTCTTTCCAAAAAAGGATTTAAGTGTCTATTTGGTGATTGAGTTTTTCAGCTTATCATGCTTATTAGTCAACTTTTTTATCAAACAGTTAATTTTTAATTTTGCGTGCTGAATTATGTACTAATAAGAAAAAATGAGGTTGAAGTTACTTTTTGGACTAGATTGGTTGAGGTTCCCGTAGAAGACCATTTTAATTGTTTTCCCATATTTTTTTTTATTAATAAGATATATCGTAAATGTATTTTTTCATAAATTAGCTGAAGATGTTAGTTGTTTTTTCATATGCTACTTCCGTCCTGAAAAAGTTCATCATATTGACTTTTCTTGTTCAATGATGTCAAACTTTGGACAATGATTTTAACACATAACAAATCCAAATTGAATCAAATTAAATCAAACCGAGGCATAATACTACACATGATTTTTATTGGGCGGCAGCACAACCGCATCAGGCCGCTATACTGGTGTGTTTGCGAATCACGAAGGAAATTCGCGTCAAAAGCAACAACGCCACATGCATCCGGCCGCAACTAATACTGATGTGTTTTTCAGATCATTGGAGTGTTTAATTTATTGGGTTGCCTGGAATTATTTTAAGGGAAATTGTCCTAAATAAGAGTAAATGAGGTTTGGAATTCCAAAATAGGATTAATATGTTTTTATTCCCGAAATAGAAGTTGTACTGTCATGTATGAAAACTACTATCATGATTGGAAAATAGTGTACTAGTATTTAACAAAATATAATGGCATGTTAAATGCACTGTATTGCAACTATTTGACAATCACGCCTACAAGATGACAGTAAATACTGTCATGTTAGTCTTATTTCAGAAATAAAAACATAGTAGTCCTATTTTTAAATTTCAAACTTCATTTCCCCCTACTTTGGGAAATCTCCCTATTTCTAAAGCAATTAATTTGTATTTTATTGTATCTATTTTTAATGGATATCTTGTTTTGTTATTCATGGCAAATTTACAATTGTGTAATACTTCCCCGTTCTTAAATAAGTGTCAAATTCCACTTTTAAAGTTTGTTAATGCAGAACTTTTATCATTAATATATACTCCATCCGTTCACAAAAAGTGAAAATTGTGTGGTCGAGAGTTGTATCGAAGAGAGAGAAATGTGTGAGAGTGTTTAAAAATATCGTGAATCATAAATTCTTTGTCAAAAAGAAAAAAAGATTATTTTAGGTCGGACGAAAGAGAATCTTGAATAAATTTAATTTCTATCCAACCAATCACTTTAATTTGTTATACCCGGCCCCCCTCAAATATTAAGGATGTTTTCTTTTGGACTGTTTTAGTCTCAGACCAGACCAGATCAGACCAGACCAGACCAGACTTCTAGCGTTATAAAATACACAGAGACCAGACGTTTACCAGACCAGACCAGACCAGTTCAGACCAGACCAGACCAAATCAGACCAGACCAGACCAGCAAATTCTAATCCAAAAGAAAACATGCTAACTCGGTATAAAAAAACACTTGAAATCAAAGATACTCTCAAATTAATTTGCCATACACGGTCTTAGACTCTAAGTAACCAAAAGAGTAAATTTAATGCTACACTACGTACTTACAGTACTACCCCGTTAATTGCCAAGAGAGTAGTTGACGGAAAGGGCTGATTGCCCTCTCTTTCACGGATTGTAGAGCTTTTTGCACAAAAATAAAGTTTAAGAGCATAAAAGCCCTTTAGTGACAAGTTCAGGGGGGATTTTGCCCCTTTTCCCTTGTTTTTGTTTTGGTTCCGATATCCAGTGGCGGATCTAGAGATTTGTGAGAGCGGGGCACACTAGACACCAAAGTTAGTCTATAATAAAATAAAATTGAAAGTGGAGAATTGTGGGTCACAAATGCCCATCTTGCCAAGCAAGTAGGAGAATTGTTGAGCACCTAACGCTTTAGTGAGCAAATCCGCAGGTTGTTCTGTAGAGGGCTTGTAGGAAGGGACAATAGTACCGGCCTGAATATGATCCCGTATGAAATGACAATCAAGTTCAATGTGCTTCGTACGTTCGTGATAGACCGGATTAGAGGCAATATGTAGTGCGGCTTGATTGTCACAGTAGAGACGTACGGGTGTAGTGGAGGAAACACCCAATGACCGGAGTAAATTGCGCAGCCAAATAAGCTCACATGTCAAGGAAGCCATGGAGCGATACTCGGCCTCCGCGGATGATCGAGAAACAGTGGCTTGCTTTTTAGTTCGCCATGACACCGGTGAGTGTCCCAAAGTAACAAAGTATCCTGTAACCGAGCGGCGAGTGACCGGACAACTTGCCCAGTCCGCATCACAATAGCCTGTGAGAACAAGATGGGAGTCCGAACGTAGCAAAATTCCCTGGCCAGGCCGTCCCTTAAGATAGCGGAGGACCCGAAGAACAGCTTCCCAATGTGCCTCTCTCGGATTTTGCATAAATTGAGATAAAATATGAACGGAATAGCAGATATCGGGTCTAGTCAATGTCAAATAAATGAGTTTCCCGACCAATCTTCGATACCGTTCGGGATCATGGAAGAATGGCCCCAAATCCGACTGTAGCTTGTGATTCTGTATCATAGGAAAGGCTGCCGGCTTGCACCCGGTAAGACCCGTCTCACTCAAAATGTCAAGCACATATTTGCGTTGACAAAGGAAAATACCCGTGGGATTGCGTGCAATTTCAATGCCCAGAAAATATTTCATCACTCCCAAATCTTTGACAGGAAAGGCAGCCGCAATATAGCTTTTAAATTGTTCAATCATAGTATGGTCATTCCCAGTTATCAATAAATCATCTACGTAAATGAGCACACAAATAATTCGACTATTCTTGCACATGGTGAACAAGGAGTAGTCTGCATGTGATTGAACAAAGCCATATGCACGCAGAGAGGTGGTGAGTTTATGAAACCAACAACGGGGTGCCTGTCTCAATCCGTAAAGAGATCGTAGTAATTTACACACCTTGCCCGGGGAAGAGGTAGAATATCCTGGCGGCAAGTGCATGTAAACTTCCTCGTGGAGATCCCCATGGAGAAATGCATTGTCCACATCCATTTGATGTAGTTCCCAATGACGGGAGGCAGCCACTGCCAAAATTGTTCGGACCGTCACCAATTTTGCTACAGGAGCAAAAGTCTCACCATAATCAATCCCCTGCACTTGTCTGTTCCCACAAACCACCAGGCGCGCCTTATAACGTTCCACCGAACCATCACTCTTGTACTTGATTTTGTACACCCATTTGCAATAAATGGCTTTCTTTCCTGGTGGCAAGTCTTGTATCTTCCATGTACCGGTCCGTTCTAATGCTTGGATTTCACGACTCATAGCATCCCTCCATTCAGGATCACGTACTGCCTCCCCAAAACTATTGGGCTCCTTGGTCAAGGAGATGGCTGCAAGGAAAGCTCGGTGCGACACCGAAAAATGATTATATTTTATATAATGAGATATGGAATAAGGAGTACCTGGATTAGCCGAAGGAGCGGGATTGCCGATGGGGGGTGAGTTTATTTTAACCGTATTCAAACGAACATCGTAGTCCTGATGCCAAGTAGGGACCTTCCTGGGACGTGCCCCTCTACGAACTTCGGCCCCATCAGTTTGGTGTGTACTACCATCACGAGCATTACTCAAATCTCCAGCTGCCGCGGAGTCAATATGTTCCTCCAGGTGTGATCGAGTGGGTTGAGTACGTAATGCGGAATTATCATCATCCAGTGCATGCCCCTTTCCTATGCTTTGGATATCATCATCATCATCATGATGGGCTTGCATGGGTACATTCGAAGCATGCAAATTATCACCAGCAGCTCCCTTTTCTTCCAAAGCACATTCACTCGTCCGGAAGGGAAACACGTCTTCTACGAATTTAACGTCTCGAGACACAAAGTGTCTTCCACGTTCAAGGTCATAAACCTTCCATCCCTTCTGAGAATAGGCATATCCCAAGAACACGCATTTCGTTCCACGCGGGGCAAATTTATCACCTGCTTGATTCGGCTCATGTGCATAACATAAACAACCAAAAATCCTAAGTTGGCTATATAGCGGTGATTTGTTATATAGCAACTCATAAGGGCTTTTATTCTCGATCACAGGCGAAGGCAGTCTATTAATTAAATACCCGGCAGTCAAAACACATTCACCCCAGAATTTGATGGGCATGTTTGCATGAAAACGAAGGGTCCTAGCCATCTCCAAAATATGTCTATGCTTCCGCTCTACTCTACCATTCTGTTGTGGAGTGTAAACACATGTTGTTTGAAAAATTATTCCTTGATTCAGAAAATATTCTTTGAGGCTCACAAATTCTTTGCCATTGTCACTCCTGACCACTTTAACAACTTTGTTAAATTGTCGACCAGTCATGGCAATAAATTGCTTAAGAATATTTTTTACTTCACCTTTATCACGCATTAAATGCACCCACACAGCTCTAGAAAAATCATCTACCACAGTCAAAAAATACTGAGCCCCACAAGTAGACTTAGTACGATATGGTCCCCAAATATCGCAATGAATTAATTCAAAAGGTTCAACAGCACGAGAATTACTAAGAATAAAACTATCACGTGTTTGTTTGCCTCGCATACAAGCATCACACGTTTTATTTTGAACGGAATGAAACAAATCTTTATTCAAATTTCCAACCAAACGTAAAACCTTCATGGACGGGTGACCCAACCTTGAATGCCACACATCCCCGGCGTCCGATCTCTTTATTGTATAGGCTTGTGCT